TTGGTGTTAACATTAATAACGTTAGACACAAATGGAGATCTAGGTGGCAAACTTGCAAATAAACACAATCCCTGACTAAATCCAGAGTAGATAAAAATGTATTACTAACTCTGCTGGGAGAGTAACCTACCAATACTTTGGTTGATGCTGATAAAACACTTTTTAAACAAGTACTGTCTGTGACTTCTATTGTGCATAATAGCTTTTTTTAAATTACTGGTTCAGGATTCAAGTTTTATTCTAAATATATATAAATATATATATAATTTTTATGTGTAATTAAAAGCTGTATTTTCCATGACTGTGGTTTCTGCATTTTGACTATGTGGCTCCTTGCTTAGAGTATTAATTCCTTTCCTCCCTATATTGGACTTGTTGAATAAAATGCTTCCAACTATTTGAAATGTGAATTTTCTGATTGCCAACATTGTATGATAATAAAGCAGTTTATGCTGTCAAGAGTTTGCTTTTGTTTCCCCATCATTTCAGTAAAGTCTGGTGTGTGCAGTTACTGCCTGTTGTGCCCCTGCATGGTTCACTTTCCCTTCTTCCCATCATGCCTCTCATGTACCATATCCAGTTTTGCTCTTCGTGTAATCTAAAATGGTTCTTACGTACTGCAGAGATGATATATGCAGGGGCAAAATTTTTCACCCATAGAGAAATCCTAAGTAGAATTACTCCAGTCAGAGCCCATTGATTTCAGTGGTCTTAGACTGGAGAAGGTCAGATCAAGATTGCACTCCAGGTGTTCAGGTTTTCTGTGGTCTGCGGCAGAACCAACCCTACTAACCCATGAGTGCCACTCTGTTCCACCCCTTTCAGGTGTCTTGGCACCAGTGACTATTCCAAGTGTCTATTCTGCAATATACACTCTCCTGGTCCACCCAACTCTTGCTTGTCTTTTGGGATGCTGCCACCAGATGGTCCTCTTAGGAATTACCTGCCTAGAGGGGGTAACACTCAAAGCTTCCCCTCTATAGTGCTGATTTAAGGCTCCACCTTGTTCCTGTGTCTCCTGCTACCTAGCAACTGGTTACCATGGGGATGGCTTACTACACTTGCCTAATCCAAGGAATTAGCATTCTATTAACTAACTGCCTCCCTTCACTTGGCACCCTTTTAAATAGCATGTTTGAATGGTAGGAGAAATATGTGGTACGGAAAACAACTACCAACATTTGAAATAATAAAGAATTTATTAAAAGTAAAAAGGCTACACACATATTCTACACATCAACAGATTGACAAGGAGGACAAAGAAAATGAGTAAACATGCATTCTTCTTCCACGCTATACATGCCCTAGCTGGTCTTATTCTAAAGCAGACTTTTTAAGGTTAGCAGTTACAGTGTTCTAAAAGCTTCCTGTTACATTGGTGTCTTTGTTCAGGCTGTTAGCCCTTTGTCTTCTCCATGTGGCAATGGCAGTATCAAGATGGAGCCCAGGCGTGAGAGCTCCTTCCTCCATACAGAATCAACAAAAATGGGCCCCTCTCCCTCTATGCCAAGGGATGTTCACTTAATCTGCTTTCCCACCTCCTCGTAGGTCAAAAGAATCCTTCCTTGAAATCTCCAGGAAGATGCCATCTAGCCCTTTGCACTCCCAAGTCTGTGTCTTTCTAGTTGTCAGATGCTGGTCAAGGTGTGAGCTGGGCATTTCATTGTCTTCAGCCAGAGAGCCATTTGCATTTGCAAAAGCTTTGGTGGTTGGGATTTGCTAGACCTATTGGCAAGATTACCAATGCTTGGGAGTGATTTGACTTCCTACTTCCTCCCTGTCTTCTGCTAATTGAGAAAAACATCTAAACCATGTGGGAGTTTTACAGAGCCCAAACCAAAAATTAAAATGCATTTTCCCACATGATCCACATTTCCACATTTACTCTGATTAGCAGTTAGTCAAGTATTAAAACATTTTCTTAGAATTTTAAAGTATTTTGAATCTCTTAAAAAGTTACCCACTCTCGGTAATTTTATATTACATTGACAAAACAAAAGGGGTAATAGAATTAATTTAGAATTAGTATTGATTTTGTGATTGCACTTAATTAATTTGAGATCGTAACAAAAACAGATTTGAGTCCAGTAGCACCTTACTGGACTAGAATCTAACTGTTGAACTAAGTAGTCATAATCATTCCAAATGTAGGGAAATTATGTTAAATTCCACTCTCAGCAATAAGTAGTGGAGGGATCAATATTCCAGTCTCTAGGAGCCTTGGTGCAAATCTTTAACCCTTGTTGTAATTGTCAACTTTTTAAAAGGGAGACTTTGTTAGAATACTTTTCAAGTACGGTATGTTTTCTTTTAGATATGACTTTCTATAGATAAGGATTCCAAGTGGAGATGTGACCAAATTTCATGACAGTTACAGTTTGATCCCAAAGTTTTAAGTCACCTTGGGTGTTCAGCACAAAAGTGTGGTCAGTCTTTTTCCCGACCATATCAAGAAAATTTTATTTAAAATATTGCTATTTAAACTGGACACCTGTTTTTGCATCTATTATACAAAAATGGTATAAAAGAAACAGAAGTGGAAAATATGCCAAAGAAACTAGCCAGGACAAAAATATCTTCCTGACCTTGCACAAAAATTATAAGAACATTTTTTAAAAATCATATTTGTGCATTTCTAGTTATAAGTCTAAAACAACGTGAGCAGATTATTGACAAAACTAACACAGAACATATGGGAAGGAATCTTCCATACATCCCATCCCAGCTTCCTGAAATCCTTTAAACCATATTTATGAAAACGCAAAACAGGGCGGAGAGACATATGCAATGCTCCCTCTAAGCTGTGGAGTCTTGTGAGCAAAAATTCAACTTTGTGAGCTACTGGGATTAAAGTTGTGAGCGAGTTATTTGGCTACTGCATAAATTAGTTTGCTCTGGAGCCATCCTTCCTGAGCTAAGACAAAAATGTGTGAGCTGGAGGCTAAAAAAGTGAGCTAGTTCACACTAACTCAGTTTAGAGGGAACATTGGACATACACCCACCCCCCCAAGGACTCTACTGTACCTTCTTCAGTTTCACCAAGGAATCACTATTTGTTATTTGTACCAGGAATCTAACCAATAGATAGTACTTTATCTTTGTCTTAGATTTTATCTTTGTCTTAGAGTTAAAAGAGATAATACCAATTATCCTACATTGTACTCCCATGAATTAGCAACTGGACTGCATCCAAGTTCTCCAGGACCTTTCCAGATGTCCCCCTTCTTCCATGAAGCCGTGTGTTGAAATCAAATCTGAAACCTCATGTGATGGAACAGGCCTGCTCTGACTTACAGACCCTGTTCTGCCTGTCCCCTCAGTTTCCTGTAGGGTGCTATTCCACTTCCTGCTACTAGGATGCACTGCTACCACCTGCTCAATTTAGGGGTCCTGAATGAGAGGAACAGGACTCTCAATCCCCCTTCCAAGTTCTGAGGCCTGGCCTCAAGGTCTCCCGCTACCCAGTGCCTGGTTATCACAGGGACCAAGTACAACTTTGGGTTTTCCCCTGGAGGGTTGGCAACGGGTGCCTTGACTGATTCCCTCCCAATCTGGGAAATTATCCAAGTGGTTGAAGGACTATGTGGTACAGAAACTTAGGGTCACATCCAATATTAAAAAGGATTTATTAAAAAGAAAGTAAGTTCAAGCACCCTTAATCACAACAATAGATCAGCACACGTAAGAACAAAGAAAAGTTGGTTATAAACACATCCTTCTTTCGCTGGTTCTAAAACTTACTCAAACTAGATGTCACAATCAGTGTAGGTACATACAAACTTATACAGTTGTGAAAGGTTCTAAAGATGTCCCATTACCTCAGGCTCCCTGCATTCAGTGGGCCGAACCACATGGTTAAAGATGGCTCCGGGCCTGCAGAACAGAGTTCAGCAGTCTGTCCTCTTCCAAGGACCAACACCAAGAAACCCTCCCTCTTGGGAGCAAGCGCTTTTATTAAACCTCTGACTCCACCCAGTTTACATCACTCTACCACTTTTGACCTGGTCCGCCCAGGTCCCACACGTGGAGCCTGGGACAACCAGGTGCATCCTGGGAGCCCTCCTGGAAGACATTCTGGGAAATTTCCTCGAGTCACTTAGCGATCCCTACACCAAATTATTTGCATAACGAAGGCCCCGGTCACACGGAGCATTAGGCACGCTAGAGAGACGGAAGATAGGCGGATTTTCTGGGCATGATCTCACCACCACATCTGGGAAGCGTAGAGCTCCCGTGGCTCACCCGAGGCTTCGCTCCGAAGATGCGCTGTAAAAAACTAGTACCTCCGAGGTACTAGTTTCCGGAAAGCGCGGGGCAAGGGCGGGCGTCAGATCATGTTTCCGGTGTTAGCTCGTGGCATCTGGCGCCCACCCATGTCCCGTCGCGAAAAGTTTTTTTTTGTCCAGTCTCCACGGGTGCGCACAAGCACCCAACGGCGCATGCGAACACTTGGGTAAAAAAAAAAAAAAACAACCCCTGCGGCGGCGCTGCTTTGCCGCACCGCAGGAGTGAGACATGATCGGCACCTCCCCCCAACCACGGGACGTCGGCGGGACGTCCAGCGGGACGTTTGATCCGGCTGCCGCGCAGTAGTTCGCTCCGGGGCAAACAGCCACGCCTCCCCCCGCCCGCAATATCCGGCCCGTGTGACCGGGGCCTATGGCAGGTAACTGATCTAGCTTCCAGAGAGAAGAGGGGGGAAAACAGGAACATTTTAAAAACTCCAAGTGGGTTTTTTCTCTCCACACCTTATAATAGCCAGAGCAAGTTGTCCTCATTTAGTACCAGATGACTTGTAATAGTAACAGCAGGAAAAACTAATAAGCAACTCCAGTTTAAACCAATAAACGAACCTTTTATTTTTAGGCAGCATGTAACAATGCAGTTGATGATAATAATGAAGCTTTTCTCTCGTGCTGCCAGTAAGAGTTCTGAGCATCTTTTCATTGGTATCATATTAAGGCTTCTTGCTTTCCTTCATAGGTTTCAGCTATGAACACTTAAACTTCATTGCTTGCCTTCACATATTCACGCATCTCAACATCTGCAATTCTGACAAAATCTTGAAAAGTTTGTTGTTCAGGAACACTGGCTGGTCTTACAGAGACACACCTGAAGAGCTTCCGGCTTGTGTCATAATTTCCCACGCACCTATGGGCCCGACCTCGGATTAATCGTGGGAGTTCCCGGTCCTGGTTTAGAAGTATAGTAAAAGGTTGTTTCCTGTCTTTTGCTTAGCATAAAAACAATCTCTTCTTACAATGAGTGAAGAATTATGGTATCTGTATGTCTGTTCCCATTGTAACTGTATGTCTGTGCTCATTGTAAGTTATGGGCTAAATTGCTTTAAGTAAAATCAAATATGGTTTAATTTAATTCTGTTCAATTTGATTAATTAAAATTCTGTTTAATTTAATAAACTGGCTGGACAAACACTTGTCAGGGATGCTTTCGGTTGATCCTGCACTGAGCAGGGGTTTGGGGTAAATGGGGCCATATGACCGCTTCCAACTCTATGATTCTATGAATAGACAGGGTTTATGGGGCATTCTGGTTACAGTTGGTAAGAATCATTGCCAAGATGCCACAATTATGTACAGAATTTTAAAAATTGTTATATGTTTCTTTGTATATTAGCAGGGGTCATTTCCTGCCGGAGCGCCCCGGAGTAGGGGTGGGATTTAAATGCATGGCTTCCTGCCAAGGCGGGTTGGGGGGGAAGCGAAGAGAGAAGGGGTTTAAAGTTTAACCCCTTTCTCTCTAGGGTCGTGCAGCAGCAGCACAATCTTTCCATTGTATTCTAAACCCCTTCCCTCTTTGCTTCCCCCCCACCCCGCCTTGGCAGACTGGCTGGGGAAGGGAAGGGGAGGCTTTTGAAGATGCCTCCCCCCCTTTTTTGCTTCCCCTTCTGACACGCTTCCGGTGATGTCAGTGGACGTGGCATATGCTAATGATTATACTAATAGCAGGTATGCTAATGAGCTCCTGCACCTTTCTACAAAATGACCCCTGTATATTAGGGTGATGTTTTTATGATGGAATTGAAGGTACCTTCTTTACATGTCCTAGTTACATATGGAAAATACTTACAATCTCATAGAATACACATGAGACACTCTCCTTCCCATCTCTCAAAAGGAAAGTCTTTGCACCATACAGTCCAGGGGTAACTGCAGAATCCAGAATACCTAAATGATACAGGGAAGAATAGACAATGCAGTTGTTATTCATCTTGGCATGAATTTTTTTTACTGATAAATGTCTTTAGGCTGTGTTTTTTTTTTTTAAGGAGATCGAAATGGTGTGCTAATCCTGCATGTTACCTTCATTTTTTATTTTGCATTTGGTTATATAATTACGGTGAGATCATGCTATATTCCCTCCATCAGTCAAGAGTTTATTTGTAAGTAAAGGTAAAGGTTCCCTTGCTCGAAAACCAGTTGAATCCGACTCTAGGGTTGCGGTGCTCATCTCCGTTTCAAAGCCGAAGGGCCAGCGCTGTCCGAAGACATTTCCGTGGTCATGTGGCCGGCATGACTAAACACCAAGGTGCATGGAACACTGTTACCTTCCCACCGAAGTGGTACCTATTTATCTACTTGCAATTTCTTGCTTTCCAACTGCTAGGTTGGCAGGAGCTGGAACTAGAGATGGGAGCTCACTCCATCATGCGGCACACTCGGGTCTCGAACTGCTGAACTACCAACCTTCCACAGCCTGCAGTTCAGCATCTTAACCACTTGAGCCACGTAAAGTACAAACTGCAGTTTGCCAGCATATTCCTGCCCGGTGTTTTAATTGTTGTTTTTATGTCTTTGTATGTTTTTAGCTCTGATTTTGTTTTAATAATGTGTTATTTGTTGGCTATAATGGTTTTTAAGATGTATTTTGGTTATTTATGTTTTAATTTGTTAGCTGCCTTGGTGGCCTTTTGAGGGCAGGAAGGCAGGGTATAAATTTTGTTAAGTAAATAAAATTAATTTAAAATGGTGCCCTACTAGTTTCTTAATATTGCCATTTTTTCCTTATGCATAGGAACCTGTCTGATCTATGTAGACAATAGGAGGGCACTGTTGATACATGATCTCACACAGAAGAACAAGCAAGTGGATGAGCCCAAGGATGTTAGATCCTGTAATGGTCTTGCGTGAGTCTACCTGGGAATAAAGTTGGCATCTTGGTCTGTTTAATGGTTTGGCCTCTGAGTTCGTATTTCTGTTAGGTGACCTGCTGTTGCTGGTAAGAAGTTGTTTTGTGGAAGGGTGGCTGTCTGAAAGCAAGGCGTGGTCTCCTTACCTAGGAGAGGCTGCAGGTCATTGTGCTGCTTTGAGCTTGAGCTACAGGCGACAACCACTCATGTTTTGTTTTGATCTCTTCTGAGCCTGCCTTGTACTAGGCAATTTTCTGATACCAGTCTGTCTTGGTTGATCTGTTCCTTCACTTCACTGCATGGGTGTCATACTCCCAAGAATGCCTGTCAGAAATCCTTCAGGTTTGCCCTGACCTGGATAGCCCAGGCGAGCCCGATCTCATCAGATCTCAGAAGCTAAGCAGAGCCAACCCTGGCAAGTAACTGGAAGGGAGACCTCCAAGGAATATCAGGGCTTGGGACGCAGAGGCAGGCAATCAAGCCACCTCTTTGAAATGTCCAAACGCCACTAGGGGTTGCCAGAAGTCACCATGACTTCCAGGCATGCAAGCACACACACACATACACATAAATCCTTCAGGTTTGAGTTCCTGTTCAAGTGGAGCGAATGTAGTTGTAACATAGATTGCACTTAGCTGTAGACAGTGGATTGTGTAATGTACTCAGGAGTGAGACCTGGACGTGTGTTGATATATGTAGAATCTGTAGCCTTTCTTCCAACCGCCTCCCTTTAAAAACCAGTCTAAATATTAATGCTGGTACAGGAAGAGAAGGGCATAGAGTATGGCATCCGGCATGTGCTGGTTCCCGTGTCAGGATAATATCCTTCCAACAGTACAGCTGATGCCATGATGTTACGCAGCTTCCTTTTTGAAGCTTTTTGGAGGAACCCTTCCTGCTTTGCATGACATATGATGTGTTGCAGTGCCTCCTGCCTAAAGAAGGATGGGTTGTGAATGGTGTTCAGACTTTGTATGTGATTTCTCAAGCTACCTTCCTAATCAATTAAATCATATGCTACTTTGTTGCTACTACCACTGAGTCTTTATCAAATTTCAGTAACCTTGCCACAGGAGGATGGGTAGGCCACATTCCAAGTGAGAACCAGTGCAAAAACAGGAGCACCATTTCACAGGAGGAACTACCAACACCTAATCATATTTGTGTCATTTTTTTGTGATTTTGCCCAGTGTGAAATTGGCCCTAGATCTCGCTCTACTGGATTATCCAAGAGTGGATTTTTTGGTGACATGTGAATGTAGTAGTCATGTGTTGTATGACTACTCAATAGCACTTCATGCTTATACAATCAATGAAGTGACTGCAAAATTAAAGAAAAACAATATTAATATTTCCTGGGAAATCCCTGAGAATTGCCATAAAAGTATTGTTCTTACCTAATACTTCAAACAACAGTGGTGCTTTATTGGTATACTGGCTCCAGTGCTTCATACTCTCAATGACAGCAGAGAGGATTCTGAGAGAATTGTCTTTTTCTTTCAGTCTGATTTGATAGGATGGTGCTTTCTTTCACATGGAAAGAAAGTAAAAAGGCCTTGTCAGTGAAAAACTTGGCATGTGAGGATTTTTAGTACACCTCATAATTTGATGCTTTAAATGATCATTATTTGCTCTTCTGCTGCTGAATCTTGTTTTTGTGATACTAGAGGCCATGTGTGTGAGAGAGAATTCACAGTAGATTATATTTCTGCCTGTTCTGAGCACAGCAATTTTGCCATGTTCAAGCTAGTTACTCCAGGCAATTTCACAGCCTGATAGGAGGATTACTGTACCTCCTAGGCAGCAAATCATTTGATATCATCACTCATGTGTAAGAAAGACAATTTTCTACTTTTCTAGGTACAATAAAAAGTTATTTTTCCAGATTCAGAAATATTACAAGCATGCTGGAAAGGCCAGACTTATATAATATACACCACTTGTTTCATTATGAGCAGTAATATTGATCTAAAGGAGCAATAATTTGCCAGAACACATGTATGGAACTCTTCATCTATATCTATATCTATATCTATATCTATATCTATATCTATATCTATCTATCTATCTATCTATCTATCTATCTATCTATCTATCTATCTATCTATATTCATTTATCCTGAACTTTCAGAATAGAACTCAACCTTGGCTATCCTTGATGCCTTTGTTTACATATTAATGCCATGCCTGGAATATAAGGAACAGAAACAGTTGCTATTCAGTTGAAGCAGTGTTGATTTTCTTGATTGATCTTAAATACTTAGCCTACAGTTGTCTTAAGAAGGCCACGGTCACACAGGAGGTTTAGCCCCGCAAGAGGGACGGATCGGGGGCGCAGCAAATGGGCGCGATCACACCGCAACATCTGGGAAGCGGCGCCCACCCGTCCCCGATCCGTCCCTGAAGTCCGATAACGCGCAGCAAAAAAGAACCTACAAAAGAGCAGCACCTACCTGAAACACCGCAGCAAACGCGGCTGTGGGATCGCCGGCGCGCCCGTCTTCAGGAGCATTCGAGGCTCCCGGCAGAACTGTGCATGCGCACACATGCGCAGCCGGCTGCCTCGCTCTCCCTTCCGTGGCTCCCCCCCCGGCATCTGATCGTGCCGGGGAGCAACTGCACGGCGGCTCAGGGCATCTGTCTGATCCCACCGCCGCGTGTGTCTTTTGGTGCAGCCCTAAAGAGCCGCACTTTGGCCGCATCATTTCCCCCGTGTGGCCGGGGCCGAAGTTGTGAATACAGGCAAGAGGGTTAAAACAAAAACTCAATCCCTGATTTTAAAAAATAACTGGTGTGTGTTTAAATTTTACCTGAATCATTTTGTCTCCTTGGATATGCTCAGCTTTTTTCTCATTAATTTTTTGTTGGTGTGGATTGTGTCTAAACATATATGATGTCCTTTGACTCAGTAGGCCTCTCGGCATGTTTGGTTGTCCTGGCTGTTGCGCTGTAGATGAATAACTTTGCCCAGCTGCTCCTGTGCTGATGTTTTGTGATGCTTTTGGACGGCCAGGAAGTTTCTGCTGACATGATCCTGTTTCTGTTAAGCAACTGGAGCCGTACTCCAGCTTTGGAATCTTTCTCTTTTCAGTTCTGCAGCCAAATGTCACACAGTCATTTTTTCCCCAAACGTTAGAACTGGCACTTTCCTCCTCTAGCCTGGAGTGAAATAATTTTATATAGCTTAATGTGTGACTGTCTATATAATTATTCTTTTCAATAATCCCACAATTTGAAACCCATTGTCCCCCCCCCACATTAATTCCAGGAATAACTACAGCATCTAGGTATGATCACAATCATCAGCCATTTACTCCAGAGCAGTCCCTCTGAAGACAAGTTGAATGATCCCGCATCAACTGTTTGAAACTCAGGGACAAACTAGATTTTGATTGAAATGTGCATCTAGTTCCTCCTTCCATAATGTCCTGGCTATACAAGTGTCTGTGTTTTTCAGCCCCAGGTCCAGATCTGATGGAAAGTGCCCTCAAGTGGCAATCGGCTTTCGGGGACCCCCTAGGGTTTGCAAGGCAAGAGACATTCAGAGGTGGTTTGCCATTGCCTGCCTCTGTGTTGCAACTCTGGACCTCTTTGGTGGTCTCCTCCACATACCAACCAGGGCCGACCCTGCTTAGCTTCCGAAATCTGACAACATCAGGCTAGCTTGGGCCATCCAGGTCAGGACGTGTCCAGATTAGGCTTGCCAGCCTCCAGGTGTGGCCTGGAGATCTCCGGCTTTTACAACTGATCTCCAGCTGACAGAGATCGGCTCCCCTGGTGAAAATGGCTGCTTTGAATGGTGGACTCTATGACATTGTACCATGCTGAGGCCCCTCCCCTCCCCAAACCCCACCGTCTCCCAAAACCACCCCCAAAGTCTCCAAGTATTTTCCAACCCAGACCTGGAAACCCTAGTCCAGATAACTGGCTGCCAATATTGTGTGTGTTTGAAATGTGGCATATTGTGGCATAACAGCATGTTAACTGTACTAGACTTGGAAGGCTGAACAAGTACCGACTAAAGAAGATTTGATAATGAAAATATTGGAGGTTGCAGAAATGGACTGTTTAACGCAGAAAGTTAACGGAAAGATGAATACTGTATTTCAGAATGTATGGTCACCGTTTTATAAGTGGCTGAATAACTAAGAAAGGGAATTTTACTCTAAATGGCTTATGGGTTGGAGATCTGTAGTGGTGTTGGGAAGGGAGATTGTGGGTGATGGGATGTAAGTATATGTGGAATGTGGAATGTATGGTTGTCTGAAAAACAATAAAGATCTATTTTAAAAAAAAACTGTACTAGATATTACAGTGAGGGGATGTTGCACTTCATAGCCTAAAAATATGACTGATTTCTCCAGTATTTGGATCCCTCCTAATCTGTCTTCCCTTCTGTCTCTTTATTTACCTTCTGATTTATTACGTTTTCCCTGCAAACTACTTCACCTAGTTTGTTCAAAATATTTACCTTCTTGCAGAAATAATTCCAAGCTCAGATATAATTAAGACAAAATAAATAAATAAAAGGACTTGGCTTTGCAGAGTGACCCAGATCAGCCAAATGCCTGTCCATAAAGAAAGGTCTTCAACTTTTCCAGAACCCTAACAAAGACTGAGGTTTCCTAACATCCTCAAGAAGGAGCTTCCAGTGTTAAGCACCTATAACATTAAAGGTAGGACTTCTGTCAACGTGTTAGAGACAGAATAGCAAACAATGCCTATTGACTAGGTCTCAGTTGGTGGGCTGGCTCACTTAGGAAGAGGTGGTCGCTAAAGTATCAGATTCCCAGGCCATTCAGGGGATTAACTATCAAAACCAGCGTCTTGACTTGAGTTCAGAACCTGAGTGATAGCCAACATAACTGGCATAGAACAGGCTATATGTGCACCTCTGTCAGCAAGCTGCCAAATGGTATTTTAGATTCCTGATCATATTCTGGTCTGTGTATGCTTGGCTACATTATACACGCGATGTAGTCTCCCCCCCCCCCCTCGGTGGTTAGCGCTTCTGTACCCATGCGCATGCCTAGACACTGCCTGCTTGCAAGAAGTTATTTACTGCTTTGTTATCTATCCCAAGGTCACAGGTGTTGGAGTGGAGTACTCTGTGCTTCACCTCTAATGAGGGGAGACTGTGGGAAATGTTTTGTAGCAATAATAACCTGGCCATTTGTTTCCCAGGGAAGTAGCCGCGCAAAAGAGGCTTTTGGCTCGAGCGGAAATTATAATCATTGGCTGTAACCATTTTGAATGTGCTTTATGCTTTTCTGCTCTGTGGTCCCCGGTTATTCTGAACAGAGAATCTGTTCAGTGACTCATGTCTGTCAATAAAGTTATCCTTTCTACAAGAGTGACTCTGTTGATTTTGTGAGACCTGACAACCTCTTAGGAGAACAGCAGCTGCATTCTGCACCAATTGAAGCTTCCAAGATATCTTCAGAGATATCTTGGGCTTAGTCAGAGTAGAAAACAACTAAAGCCTGGTTCACAGATGAAAGAGAATAATGTGGCAATATGATGGACAAGTCCTGAGGTTACAGAATAGATTGGACCTCTATGGACTGCAGGTGATACTTTCATGCAAATGGAAAACTAGCAGAATATGGAGAGAGGCTTTCTTTCCCTTGCCCTTGCTTTGCCATGTTGACTTTCAACTAGCAAGGATTTTTTTAAAAAAACATAGAGGAACATCCCAAAATGTGACTGTAGGTGAAGTGGTACATTCCATCACCTCATGGTCACCTCGTTCCCATACAAGAGTGAGCCAGATCTTCAGTATCTGAATCCAAAGGTCAGATGTGTGGATCATAGTGAACCAAACCTTCATGGCCAGTTCAGGCTTTTCTCATGACCAGAATGAGCAACATCGTGTCCTCAACTGTAAATGGACACAAGGTATTAAAAACTGTACCAACCTCCAGTTGTTCACATTCCTTCCTGTACTTGATTCAATGGACTTTGATGGGGCTTGTTGTTTTAATAGAGGAGATGGCATAGAAAGCTCTGTTGGACTTCAAAGACACAATATTAAGAGTTTGCACTGGATAATATTGATGCAGCCAGTTTAAAAATATTTATTTCCATAATTTTTAAGATCCCATGAAACGGTAAGGTTTAAGAAATTAATTTCAAGTATTTAAATATATTAGTATAACAGAATAAAGGAATTAAAGAAAGCTTAAAGTGGGATTTCCCCCCTACTTACTCAACACCTGTTGTTTTCTGTAGCTGAGTTGGTTCTGGCTTTGCAGCTTCCCAGCCAAAATCTTTAAAAATCAAAAGACATGGAACAATTAATGAAACATAAGCGTGAAATCTTGCAATACCTAATTTGAGAGCTTGCAAAGCACAAAACATACACGTGGACTGTACTGTCTTCATCCCTCTGTTTTTGGGTATTGGCTGTGACCTAATTTGGTCTGTGCTTGTAACAGGAATTCTCTCTCTCTCTCACACACACACACTCACTCACACACACACACACACACACAGCATTCCCCAACATTAAGTTCTATAGTTGTTCAAAGGAATCTCCAGGTGAGCCCTGTGGGACTTTGGTTCACAGCCATATTGTTCAAAATAGTCATAGGAGCACTAAAAGATGCGCCTTTCAATGGGTTTAACCCATAGCATTCTTGTAATAGGGTACTGTGCCTTAACTTTTGCTGGATCAACATGTGCTCCAACCATCCCTGCTTACCAGGGATAATCCCTTTCTTCTGGTTCTTAGGAAATTACACTCTCTAATGTTTGCCTTTTGCAGATGCTTGTTAAAAATCAGTGTGAATTGCTTGAGCTGTCATTATTCAGCGGCTTTACCTCACTATCTATTAGCTAAATCTGTGTGTGGGCGGGTTCGTGCATGCACGCATGTGCAATTTGTTGCTAGAGTAGAGGCATGATCACCAAAGTACTGTGCAGTGCACGGCCTGTCATTTCACGGACCGCAGCTGCTGAGCTATGTTTTATTGATGAACGTGACAGGCAGTTGTGTTTTTTCTGCCTTATCGAAACCAAACAACACATGCTTCCTTAGCTTTGAAATAGATGTAGGAGAGGCAGTTGCGGAGTAAATGAATGCAGCATACCCTAAACACACTAGAGTTGTCAACAGCATATAGCCACTGTGGGGAGGCCTTGGTATAAGAACTGGGGTGTTCCTCCCTGTTTGCCCCTGAGGGTGCTGATCAGACCAGAGGTCCACCTAGGCCAGCGTTCTGTTTCTATCACTGGCCAATCAGATGATGTACAACGAGGACCTGAAGCTGAGAGCTGTACCCTGTTGTCCACCCCCAGCATCTGAAAGATCAGTTGCGTGCTCCTTTTGAGTAGAAAATAGAGGTTCAAATTATCTAAATAAATAAAAATACACTGCCTCCGGACATGGAGGTTCAGTTTAGCTGCTTGTGGTCCCAATCCTCTCTTAGTATAATTATTTATAAGCAGCTATCAGTATAATCAGGAGCTGCGGTGGCTCAAGTGGTTAAGACGCTGAACTGCAGGCTGTGGAAGGTCGGTAGTTCAGCAGTTTGAGACCCGGGTACCGCATGATGGAGTGAGCTCCCGTCTCTAGTTCCAGCTCCTGCCAACCTAGCAGTTCGAAAGCAAGAAATTGCAAGTAGATAAATAGGTACCGCTTCGGTGGGAAGGGAACAGCGTTGCGTGCGCCTTGGTGTTTAGTCATGCCGGCCACATGACCATGGAAACATCTTCGGACAGCGCTGGCTCTTCGGCTTGGAAACGGAGATGAGCACCGCAATCCTAGAGTCGGATTCGGCTGGCTTTCGAGCAAGGGAACCTTTACCTTTTATCAGTATAATCTCTTGGTTTCTTCTTTCTGTATAAGTGGACACTGAGCAAGTGGAACACAGTCTACTATTGCCTTTCTAAAAAGCTGGATAAGCAATTATTTTATGGTTGCACATTACCATTTTCCCAAGGCAGCATTTTAAAAGCACAAAGCAATTGCAAAGCAGAAATTCATTCACTTAGGAAGAGTTCCCTCCTCCCCTTTTAACCCCAACAATAGGATTAATTCATATTACAATAGTTAGTCCTGACAGAATCCTATAACGTAGCCATTTCAGGCCTATGAGAGGTAACCAGCATCTCTTCTCCATGATAATCCACAAGAAAATACTCTTTCCTGTAATGAGGAACGTCAGCTCAGAGGAAAAGGGCAACATTTCAAGACACTTAAATTTAAAAGCTAGCCTTTTGCTTCGGTTTTGAAGCGAAAAAATATGCAAGACTTTGACAACAGACACAAATTACCCTGGGACGCTGGTGAATGTTCCAACTAAAGGAAAATATATTGAGATAGGAATTATGGAGGGGTGATAAAAGTCTGAACTCTGTGTACCTGCTAGCATGGTAGAAAGGTCCAAAGTGTCTGCTGCGTTGCTGGTACTTGACTCATTTTTAAGTGGGTTTGAAGTCAGTGGTTGTCTGGTTCTCTTTTTCTGGTTGAACAGCGGCACAGGTAAGCAGCCTAAAAATGTGGATTTGAAAGATAATGTAGTACTGGTAAACTGTTAAATTTACAATAAATTTGTTATCTTAGAGCACATACCCCAGCCCAGCAATTTGCTGCAGAGGAGGGGCTCAGGAAGCTGCCCTGACTCCAAAGAGCTATGCCATTCACGAAGATGAAGAAGAGGAAGAGGAAGAGGAGGAGGAGATGGGATTTATACTCTGCCCTTCACCCACAGTCTCAGAGCGGCTTACAGACTCCTTTCCCTTCCCCTCTCCACAACAGATACCCTGTGAGGTAGGTGGGGCTGAGAGAGCTCTTTACAGAAACTGCTCTTTTTCAAGAGCAGCTCTTATCAGAACTATCGCTTGCCCAAGGTCATCCAGCAGCTGCAAGTGGAGGAGTGGGGAATCAAACCCAGTTCTCCCAGGTTAGAGTCCACGCACTTAACCACTACACCAAACTGGCTCTCAAAGAAGGAAGGATGGCAGGAGTGGACTGGGAAGTGAAAATGGCCCTGGAGCAAGACCAGCTGCGCTGCTGGAGAAATTCAGCTCAGTGAGACAAACAGTGCCCATTAGTTGCTGGGGCTTGGCTCTGCTTGCTCCTGGCTGCCAGTGACCCCCCCAGGGCAGTGTCACACTAGGAAATTAAATGACCAATCAGTGTGAATTGCTTGAGGAGACAGAGAACTGCTTCTTCCGCTGCAGTAGATTCAACAACCTGCGTGGTTAGGAGCCCCGTACTGGATCAGAGCACTCATCATGAGGCTCTCCATTGTACTTTGATTTCTTCTCCGTATATTATGAGTAAGCAGCTCAAATAGCCCAGATTAGCCTGGGCTTGTCAGAATGTGGGAGCTAGGCAGGGTTGGCCATGGTCAGTGCTCGGATAGGAGACTACCAAAGAAGACTGAGGTTGATATGCAGAGGAAGACATTGGCAAACCCCCTCTGCTCATCTCTTGCCATGGACGGGGTTGCCGTGAGTCGGCTGTGACTCAATAGCAAGTGCCTCAATACCTGCGGTATGTGCAGCATGAGCCATCTAATCTGTATACGTGGAGGGGCTGTGGCTCACTGAGGAGGGGCTGTGGCTTAGTGGTAGAGCATCTGCTTGGCACACAGAAGGTCCCAGGTTCAGTCCCCGGCATCTCCAGTTAAAAGGATCAGGTAGGAGGTGATGTGAAAGACCTCAGCCCGAGACACTGGAGAACCGCTGCCAGTCTGAGTAGACAATACTGACTTTGATGTACCAAGGGTCTGATTCAGTATGGCAGCTTCATGTGTTCATGTGTTGTTGCATAACTTACTCTGCTGCTGCTTGGCGTTGGGAGATGGCAGTGCATTGTCAATGGACATGGCCTTTTCACATGACAGGACATTAAAAAAAATGCATGCCCTTCTCTAAAGATTCTACAATTTATAATTAAGTGGGTAGTGGGGAGAAGAGGAAGGACAACAGCTCTGTTCACAGGTTACAGTGAATGCTCATACATTCTGTGTACAGTATACACTTGATTTTTCTTTATATGTATATTCAGTAATTCTCGTGTTACAGTCAACACGTGCACAGCTGAACATGTGATTCAAACCCAGCATTTATCCAGTTACTAGACCTTGATTTCATTTGTAAAGCGAATTTCTTGCAACCTGATGTCCACAGGTCCAGGTCGTATGTATAAGCCTTCACTGTGAACAGGGCTACAGTTATGGGGGAGGGATTCTGCCTGCCAAGACATTTTGCATACTGGCAATTCTGCTATTGCAGCCTCCACTTCTGTCAGCCAGGTCCAAGCTTCATCTATCACAACAGCATGCACGTTGCTAATAATCTAAGTAATTTGCAACTTTAGCACTAATAAAATATTGATACCTGCTGTAGTACGGGTTGAGCTGTCAGTGAAGTTCCTCTTCATTTCTTTCAACTTATCTGTACACACAAAAAAATATTTTCTGAGCATCCCCCAGTTTTTCTTGATGCAACATGAAGGTAGCTTTTTAGGTAAAGGTAAAGGTTCCCTTGCTCGAAAGCCAGTCGAATCCGACTCTAGGGTTGCAGTGCTCATCTCCGTTTCAAAGCCGAAGAGCCAGCGCTGTCTGAAGACGTTTCCATGGTCATGTGGCCGGCATGACTAAACACCAAGGTGCACAGAACGCTGTTCCCTTCCCACCGAAGTGGTACCTATTTATCTACTTGCAATTTCTTGCTTTCGAACTGCTAGGTTGGCAGGAGCTGGAACTAGAGACGGGAGCTCACTCCGTCATGCGGCACCTGGGTCTCGAACTGCTGAACTACTGACCTTCCACAGCCCGCAGTTCAGCGTCTTAACCACTTGAGCCACCGCAGTTCCATTTACCTTTAGCTTTTTAAGACTAATGTAAAACACTAGCAGAGCCCAACCTAGTTTGTAGCTAAATTGTGCTGAAATTGCTGGATGTATACTAGAATAGAATGTATACTAGCAAACCAAAGTTCTCACAAATCTGCCGTGAATTCAAATCCATAATCAGCCACAAAGCTTACTTGGGGACCTTGGGCCAGTCCCTCTCTCTCAGATGCGCATACCTCACAGGGTGGTTGTGGGATAACATTGAGGAGAAAATAACTGTGTGCATGGCCGCCCAGAACTCCTTGGAGGGAAAGGCAGAATGAAAATTAAAATGTATAGAAGTAGCCAGGAAGATCAATATAGACATAAGGGAAGCACATTGGTCTTTTATTACAGAAGGATGCAAAAAAAAAAAATTCAACATTGCAAATGGATTGCCTATCTAGAATTCTGAGATGTAAACTCCATTTACAAACTGTGTTTGTTAAGGGGCAGTGATTAGAAAATCTGTTTCTCATTAATAGTCAGCATTCGTGATGTTCTATAAGAGCAAGTGCAAGATAATATTGATCCGTATACTACATTCAAGCCATTATTCAGGATTAATCATTACCATGTTATTCTGTAGAAAAGTCTTTAACTTCAGTATTATGCTAATTTTAGAAATCAATATTTTTTATGGGCAGGAATAAGAGGCACATTGAGTTTCTGTGGTCTAAACTTTGTCTCTTTTAATTCAGTTTGTATCTGTGTTGCCCTAAACTTCCAGAAAGGTATTAAATTTTAAACAGTTCAGACCACCAGATAAAAATCTGTCCTGTTATTTTTTCCCCTCACAGCAGCTTTGTGAGGTAGGTTAGGCTGAGATACAGCAAGTAGGCCAAGGCCTCATGGCTGAACGTGGATTTGAACTCAGATCTGGCGTGGTCTTTTAGTCTAAGCATTATGCCACACCAACTTCCTAACACTACAACAACATAAGCCCTTTTGAGCTGTTACATTTTACCACATGTGTGGTGAGAATGCACTAAATGCAATCCCCTGATACACACAGTCTTCCTTTTGTCTGGAAAGGGCAACATCCATATTTTCAGCTTTTGTACAGGTGAAACAGAACCCCAGGGCTACTGGTTTATGGAGATGTCCTGTTCTGGAACAAGGCTTAAAACTGGAAAAAAATTCCTTACGGTCTTGGTTAGAACAGCAACAGAAGGATATGAAATTAAATGGTCATGTAGCTTGGGAAAGAGACAAAATCTCTAAATGGGTCAAGGGGGACAAATTTTGTTTAAGTAATACACTCAAATTTTTGCACCTGTTTATAGGAGTGGAAAGTCTGCCATTTAAGGTCTGTACTGGACTTTAAGCCCTACCTAAACCATTTCTCAATCAAAAACAGCAGTTAATAAACAGCTGTGGGTTGTTAACCAAGCTCTGTTTTGCTTTAAAATCACGGGTTAATATTTGCCTTTGGAGAAAAAAAATTAACTTCGTCATACTTTTGTATGCAATCTTGGGCTGAAGATGGGGAGGGAACCAGAAAGGGGTATTTCAGAACTGGGGGAATCGAGTAGAGGCCAGTTGAAGAAAACCCAAACAGAGACCCAAACTCGTGAGGAGAAATTGTGCTATGGGCTGGTGCCAGTTGAAGGCTGAGGTAAAACAGACCAGTGTTGTCAAGCTACATTAAGAAAGGGCGGGAAAGCGCCCAAATCCTTCAATGCAAGGGGGGGGGGGGGCGTTTTTTGTCAGGAAAGGGCCTCTCGACCACTTAGCCAGAGGCTAAAAGTCAAGACTGGTCCTGAACCTGAAGCACTTTCTCTGTCTGAGAGAGATTTCTGCATGGCCGAAAGTGTCGAGCAAAATCTCCAGCTTCATTATCTGGGAGAATTCAGATTTACAGAGGTGCAGGACTTTATAAGGAGGAAGTGAAGTGAAGGGGCTCTCCTTCTCCGGCCTGCATTTGGCTCTCGATGTCAAGAGGTGGCACCAGCAGCTCCTGAGGGGGGAAAGATGGCCTCAGAGCCAAGCACTGCGATCCACTGGCATAAACACCGTTGTCATTTCAAACGTCAACTGCCTTCTCCCCTCTCAGCTACAGGGTAGCAACATTGGCCGCCAATAGGCCCCCCCCCCCATTTCCGGTTTTGCTTTTAAAATTATTTTTTAGTTCCATACCATCCCAACCTACAGGGGCTAAATGGATGCCTCAAAACGGCCCATTTCAGTTCTACTGAACCGCTTCAAAATCTTGGGCAGCAGGGGGAGGTGGTTCCAGACATGAGCTGAATAAATAATAAAATCAATACTGGTCCTTCACAACTTTTGCTCTGGAGGACTCTGGTCAGGCCTGATTCCTCTATAGACATGCACTTAAGAAGCCCTAAGCGACTAGTTAGCTTTCCTGTATCAGACTGTTAATTGGAAGCACACCTCAACAATGTTTTTGGTGCGTTGGGAGAATAGTGCAAGTATAAGTATTATTGGAGAATCTTGCCTCCATTTATCTTTTTTTTATTAAAACATAGTTATTTACACTTTTGACACAGACTAACTTAAAAGACTTCTGCCAACTTAGCAGTTTGAAAGCAAGAAATTGCAAGTAGATAAATAAACGCTTCGGTGGGAATGTAACAGCATTCCGTGCGCCTCGGTGTGTAGTCATGCCAGCCACATGACCATGGAGACGTCTTTGGACAGTGCTGGCTCTTCAGCTTGGAAACGGAGATGAGCACCTCACCCTAGAGTCGGATTCGACTGGCTTTCGAGCAAGGGAAACCTTTATCTTTACCTTTAACTTAAAAGAATATTGATTCAGGTGGGGAATCTACAAGTAAGCAGGTTATGGACAAGGAGCATCTTCAAAGAAGATGCTTCAGTTCAATTAAGTTTCACATATTTATAGGTTTTCAAAATCATCTTCTAACAACAGCTATCTGTCATATCTGACATTCTTGGATAACTAATTATCTGATAACTTCAAACACCATACAGAGTTAATTCATTCTTGCTGCTTTTTATTATAACAAAGGGGATAATAAAACAGGGATTACAAGTACCTTATACATATGGCTATTCATTGAACTCCAACCAAAGCACCCATCTTTGAACTATATCTTCACTTCTATATTTAGTTGAGCGTTCTTGCACCTGGGCCCAGACATATATCTATTTATATGAATTGTATCATTTCTACTCTACTAACAGCTATAGGTAAAGGTAAAGGTTCCCTTGCTCAAAAGTCAGTCGAATCCGACTCTAGGGTTGCGGTGCTCATCTCCGTTTCAAAGCCGAAGAGCCAGCGCTGTCCGAAGACGTTTCCGTGGTCATGTGGCTGGCATGACTAAACACCAAGGCGCACGGAACGCTGTTACCTTCCCACAGAAGTGGTGCCTATTTATCTACTTGCAATTTCTTGCTTTCAAACTGCTATGTTGGCAGGAGCTGGAACTAGAGACGGGAGCTCACTCCGTCATTCGGCACTCGGGTCTTGAACTATATTCTTCTGTTAATCCTTGTTCTTTCTCCAAGGCTATTCTATTCTAGGTTTCTGGATTCCCTGTGTGGCATATCTCATTGCTTAGCTGAGAGTCCAGGCAAGCTCTGATTCTGGCTTGCGGAAGAACATAAGGAGACCCTGATGGTTCAGACGAGTGGTCTGGCTAGTCCAGAATGCTGTTTCACACAGCAGCCAACCAGTTGCCAGTTGGAGGGCCAAACAAATGGGGCATAGAGGTGAAGGATTTCTCCTGCTGCTGCCTCCCAGCACTGGTATTCAGAGGTTTGCTGCCTCGGTAGATAGAGGCTCCCTTCAGTCACCACAGCTAGTAGTCATTGATGACCTCCCTGAATCTTCCCACGAACCCCCTTTTAAAGCTATCTATGCTTGTGGCCGTCATTACCTCCACTAGCACTGAACACCACAGGTTAATTACTTGTTGAATAAAGGAATATATCCTTTTTGTCGGTCCTGTACGTATTCCCCAACAATCTCAGTTTGGTGTAGTGGTTAAGTGCGCGGACTGTAATCTGGGAGAACCGGGTTTGATTCCCCACTCCTCCACTTGCAGCTGCTGGATGACCTTGGGCAAGCCATAGTTCTGGCACAGCTGTTCTTGAAAAAGAGCAGTTTCTGTCAGAGCTCTCTCAGCCCCAGCGACCTCACAGGGTGTCTGTTGTGGGGAGGGGAAGGGAAAGGAGTTTGTAAGACGCTCTGAGACTCCCTTGGGTAGTGAAGGGCGGGGTATAAATCCAATCTCTTCTCTTCTTCTCATTGGGTGCCCCTGAGTTCCAGTATTATGGGAGAGAGAGAAAAGGTCCCTCTATCCACTTTCTCCACACTATGCATAATTTTACAAACCTCTGTCATGTCTCCCCTGAGTCTCTTTCTTCTAGGCTGAAAAGTTCCGGAGTCTCCAGGCTTCATAGGAAAGGTGCTCCAACCCCCTAATCATCACGGTTGCCTTCATAATGCCAGCATCCTTCGTGATCTTTTTTGGTTAAGAGCAGCAAATATACCCATATGTTTCTGGTTAAACCGATGACATTTTGCTTAGGTAAGAGTAAAAAAATTCCCAGTACTTTAT